CTGATTCCCGGTGCCCTGTACTGGTTGATAGAGAAAAGGACGCACGTCAGAGCCCGAACAATGCCTCTGCTTCTCTTCGGCTTCATGGCTTGTGGTAAATATGGCAATTTACTGTTCCACGAGAAAGACATCAGACGCTGCTTAAACCACATCGAGGAAGATTACAGGTTCGTTACCAGCGCGAAGGCGCGAGATACGATGATTGAGTCCGCGAAGGTCGGCATACGTCTGGTCGCACTTTGCGCGCTTTTCATGTACGGCAGTGGGCTATCCTTTCGTTTGATCTTGCCGTTTGCCAAAGGAAAAATTATCACCGCGCAGAACGTCACGATCAGACCACTGCCTTGCCCGGCTTACTTCATTTTCTTCAACGTACAAGTCAGCCCCATTTACGAGCTGATCTTCGCGATACAAGTGTTATCAGGGATGATCACTTACTCGATAACAACGGGTTTATGCGGCCTCGCGGCCGTCTTCGTGATGCACGCCTGCGGCCAGCTAACGATTCTGATGAATTTGATGAGAAATCTTGTCGAGGTGCAAGAGCAAAAGAACCGGGAAGTGGACAGGAAGCTGGCACTAATGGTTGAACATCAAATAAGAATAAGAAGGTAAGAGTTTGAGAGTTTATTTTTTTTTATTAGTTCACGTGCGCATCAAGCGACTCGACGTTAGTAGTAACTGATTATTCGCTAATCGATTAAAATCATATACATGCAGAGTGCAGATAATTCTGTTTTCTCATTTCCTGAATGTATTAATTCGGTGCGGTCGGCAGTTTTTTACAAATGGTAGAAAATACTCTACAACAAGCGTGTGTAATAGAATTGTTGGGGTGCACGGCAAATGCCTGCATTCTAGGATATTTTATAATAATGGTTCGTAATTTTGTCAAGAGTTTTAAAGCAAAAGGAAAAAAAGTACTTCCCCTACAATAATGTGATATTTGTAGGAATGGGAGAATAGCAATTCGTTAGCTATGTCCTCCTACTTTTCAGCACTTATATCCATGATGCTAAACATGTTCATGTTTTGTTACACTGGTGAGCAACTTACCGTTCAGGTATGTTTGTTCTGCATCTTTTTCTCGCGAAGATTATATCATACAATCATGTGCGCAATAATTATATGTGTAGTATGCAATAATATGTAGTAATCTTATTTGATATATAATATATAAATGATAATATTTGTTACACAAAGTATCGCTTTTATACAAGACGATATTTAAGAAAAAGTTGGAAATGTTTTGTGTAAAATATTTTAAACGATGCTTAAATTTGCAAAAATTTTGCTACACGTACTTGACAATGTTAATAACAGGCAGAGAAAGTAGCTAGAACATCTTGCGTGCTCGAGTGGTATCGTCTTCCGGATAAAAAGGCACGTGCGATCGTGCTCGTGATAATCATGTCGAATTTGCCTATCAAGATCACCGCTGGGAACATCGTGGAATTATCGCTGAAGACATACGGTGATGTAAGCACACACATTTGAAAGAATTCGCTCAGTTTTACAGAAATCATCGACAATTGCAATACTGCAATTAAATACGTTATATCCTGCAGTGATTAATGTTACCACCACAATATAATGAACATGAATCAAATGCAACATTTTTTAATCAGCCTCTCGCGTTAGTTGAATAAAACCACGACAAAGTAATAAGTAAAGAAATAATTACAGAATATTATGTTCTTATTTTTCAGATTGTAAAGACAGCTGTGACGTACTTTAACATGCTTTTAAAGGTGACGGACTAAATATTTCTGATTTGTATCTTTTCTTCTCGTCGAAACTATGATTATGAACGCATCATACAGTAATATCGTTTATGATATAGATGTGTCGAATACAAAACCTTAGTACAATTTATATATAGAGAGAATAGCGCGTAAAATATTTTTGTTTCTTCATATGGCGAAACTATACATTTTATGTTTTCATAGGAACCTGTTCGATAATAAATTAAATTATCTAATTACTCTATTTTATCTTTTTATAAATTTATACATATCATATCTTCACATCATTGAAGGTGAATAAGGGTATAAATATTAAGAAATAATCGAAAATATAATTTCACATTATTTTCACATTATGAATTAGATATATACGAAACTAAAACTTTATATAGGATCAAAGCACATTGATTTTTATATGCAATTGTAATTTGCGAGCAGATCGAAGTATCGCATGATACAACTAAAACTACTGCACAGTTGTGAATCAATGTTCGGTCTTCGAAACTACGTTCTCAACTACACGTCGTATCAGTAATATCATTGTGCATGATGAGCATACAAAAAGGAAACAAAAATTTAACGCAATAAATACAATACGTACGACCTGACATTGATATAAATAAATCCTTATAAAATTGATTGCTTAATTTTTCTTTTACTAAAGTATATCGAGCAGCATTTCAATTTATATGACAGAAATAAGCTATGCAATATCCATTTTGCTTCGAAACCGACTATTACTTCAAAAGCCACCTTACCAAAATATTAAAATCTCCGGAACATTAGCACGCTATGCAAATACATATTATCCTGTAACTTTGTTTTATTCACTGAGGTGTCATCACGTCGGAAACGTTACACTTGTTGTCACACTCGTTGTATAGAGATCTAAGCAGATTTAATTATTACTGTACTCTCTAAATTTTCTAGAGTGAATCTTACTCCAAAAGAGCTGAAAATTCACTCTAGAAAATTTAGAGAGTTCTATGCAAATGATTTTTTTGATCAATAAACTATTGCTAGAAGTCAATGTCCAACGGGTGCAATTGTAAGTTTTAATACAGGAAGGAAAGTTGAATCCAATCGACTACTCTTGGTTGTTTGGAAAAAATGCACATGTTTACAAATGGAAGCTTGATTCTGGGAAAGCAATCCAAACCCTCGGTGAGCAAGTTGACTTCGAAACTTTCCTGCTTTCCACCTTTCTCCTGCACACCTTAATCTTTAATGCGCGCAAGCGCAAGCCCTGCGACGAATTTACTTTATTGACAGCTTTTATTTGCAGCGGTCAGTCGTCATCCAGCTTTTGCGAAAATTTCACGAGAGATCGGCGAAAGAATGTTGGGGAACAAGTATTACAAGGAAGACATGATTTATATAACACAAGTGACGCGAAACGTTCTAAGCTTACTCGGAATCTGGCCGCCTTACAATAGAAGAAGAACCATCGGGGAAAAAGTTTGGAAGTACTTCTTGATAACGATATGCAACCTTCTTCTCTACTGCGTCCTGATTCCCGGTGCTCTGTATTGGTTGATTGAGAAGAGGGTATACGTCAGAGTCCGAACGATTCCTCTGCTTCTTTTCGGCTTCATGAATTGTAGTAAATATGGTAACATGGTGTTCCACGAAAAGGATATCATACGCTGCTTGAAGCACATAGAAGAGGATTATAGGTTTGTTACCAGTGCGAAAGCGCGGGACACGATGATCGAGTCCGCGAAGATCGGCATACGACTGGTCACAATTTGCATGCTTTTCACGTACGGTAGCGGGCTTTCCTTTCGTTTGATCTTACCGTTTGCCAAGGGAAAAATCATCACCGCACAGAATGTCACAATCAGACCTCTGCCTTCCCCAGCTTACTTCATTTTCTTCGACGTACAAGTCAGCCCCACTTACGAGCTGATCTACACAATACAAATATTATCCGGGGTGGTCACTTGGTCGATAACAACGGGTTTATGCGGTCTCGCGGCCGTCTTCGTGATGCACGCCTGCGGTCAACTGACGATCCTTATGAATTTAATGAGAAATCTTGTCGAGGAGCAATGGCAAGAGAACCGGGAAGTGGACAGGAAGCTGGCACGAATGGTTGAACATCAAATAAGAATAAGAAGGTAAGAGTTTGTAAGTTTCATTTCTTTATTAAGATCACGTGCATCAAGTGCGACTCGACATTAGTAGTAACTGATTAAATTACCCGCTAATCGATTAAAATCATATACATGCAGAGTGCAGATAATTCTGTTTTCTTATTTCCTAAATGTATTGATTCGGTGTCGTTGGCAGTTTTTTAAAGTTGGTAGAAAATACTCTACAAGCGTGTCTAATAGAAATATCGGGGAGCACAGCAACAGTCTGCATTGCAGGATATCTTATAATAAAGGTTTGTAATATTGACGAGTTTTAATGTATTAAAGCAAAAGAAAAAAATAATTCCTTTGCAATAATGTGGTATTTGTACAGGAATGGGAGAATAGCAATCCGATAGCTATGTTCTCCTATTTTTCAGTAGTTATAACCGGGATGATAAACCTGTTCATGTTTTGTTACACTGGTGAGAAACTTACCGTTCAGGTATGTCTGTTACTTTTTTCTCACGAAAATTATATAATTATGTGATATACCAATAACAATAATTATACGTGGAGTATATATTTGTAATATTAATCTTAACAGTATTTTTGTTTATATACAACAAATACGTATATATAATAGATAATATTTGTTACCTTATATACAAAACAACATTTGAGAAACAATTATAAATGTTTGTGTAATGTATTTTAAACGATGCTTAAATTTGCAAAAATTTTATTACACGTACCTGATAATATTAATAACAGGCAGAGAATGTAGCTAAAACATCTTGCATGCTCGAATGGTATCGTCTTGTGGATAAAAAGGCGCGAGCTATTGTGCTAGTGATAATCATGTCGAACTTACCCACCAAGATCACCTGTGGGAAACTCCTGGATTTATCACTGAAGACATACGGCGATGTGAGCACACACGTTCGAAAATATTCGCTCAATTTTACAGAAATCAGCAACAATTACACACTACAATTAAATTACGTTATTAAATAATTAATATTATCATCATAATAGAATCAAATGCAATATTTCTTAATCAACTTATCGCGCTAATTGAAAAAAACTACGACAAAGTAACAAAGTATAGAATAACTACAAAATATTATGCTCTTATTTTTCAGATTGTAAAAACAACTTTAACGTACTTTAATATGCTTTTAAAGATAGCAGACTAAATATTTCTGATTTCTATCCCTTCTTCTCGTCGAAATTGTGACTATAAACGCGTCGTATGGTAATATCGTTTATGATGTATCAAATACAAAAAGCTTAGTACAATGTATATATAATATAAATAAGTGTAAGAAATTTTTGTTTCTTCTGACAAAACGATACATTTTCTCTTAGGAAAAAATAATAAATTAAATTATTTAATTACTCTAAACGTTTACTATTTTGAGAGTTACATTTTGACGATACACATCAAAATTTGGGAGGGTCAAAGTCAAGCCTTATCGATACTCATCCGTTTTGTTTCTCAGTACGGAAGAAGTACATTAAATTTTCAAAGAAAGCAGGTTCGATAATTAATTAAATACTGTAATTACTGTTATATCTTTGTGTAAATTTATATAAACCTTATTTTCACTTCATTACAAGATGAATAAGAGCACCGAGTAGAAATTAAGGGATAATCATATGCAAAAATATAATTTCATATCATTTCATCAATTGCATACATACGAAACCAATGCTACTTTATAAATTTGTTTACTTCTGTATACGATTATAACACACGAGCAGATTGAAGTAGCCGCAAAATATATAACTCAAACTAATACACATCCTTAGCCAACGTTTGTTCTGCGAAACTTCAGCCTAAGCTATACATCGTATCGGTAATGTCACATCGTGCGTGACATGAGAAAACAAAACAAAATTTTAATAGATATTACATAATTTTATATTGATTTAAATATATTCTAATACAATTGATATAATTTTATTTTCGCCTACAGAATCAAGCAGTATTTCAAATTTATATGATAAGAATATGTTATACAATCATCCATTTTGCCTCGAAACTATTATTTCAAAAGCTATCTTACGTACCATTAAAACCTCCAGAACATTAGCATGGCATGCAATCAGACATTATACTATAATTTTATTTAATCCACTGAGGTTGTCAGAACCATCACGTCGGAAACATTACACTTGTTGTCAGACTTGTATTGATCTCGAAGCAGATTGAATTATTACCGTAGTACGTAAAAAAATCTTGCTGGCGGTCAACGTCCAACGGGTACAATTGTAAGT